AACTACCTGTTCTACGCGAAACTACCCCACGCACCTTTCCTTTTCGTCCTCCCCCCTCCCTCCTCGCTCCCCTCCCTACCCTAACCCCCTCCCCTCCCCCCCCCTCCCTCTCCACTCTCTTCCTGTCCTCTCTCTCTCTTCCTGTCCTCTCTCTCTCTTTCTCTCCTCCTCTCTCTTCCTCCCTCCTCTCTCGCACCTGAAGAGGCTGGGTTATAGCATCTCGTAGCGATCGCAAGAGGATCCCCAGGGACGTCCAGTCGCGCGAGAGCCCTGAGCTCTTCTTCCTAGTCTCCTCCACAACCTCCAACGCGCTCTCCAGCACCGCATACCCCATCCTCCTCACCCTCTCCTCCTCTGCCGCCGTCGCCATCACCGCGTACGCCAGTCCTCCCCCTTCGATCGCCATCTGCACGTCATGCGGCCCCGACGAGAGGGCGACGAGCAGGACGGGAAGGATGTACGTCGGGTCCAACGCGCCCTCCATCGCCCTCGGGCATGAGCAAAGTCCACTCCCCGTCCACAAGAGATGCGATAGGGGAACCTCCTCCTCCTCCTCCTCCTCTTGCGTCTTGAGCAGGAAGGAGGAGGGAGCAGCAGGAGGGTCCGGCACGATCATGCACAGGGGGAACTCCCGAGCAGCCTGAGCAAGACGAGCAGGAGGAGCAGAGGCTGGTCCCCAGAGCCACCCGAAGGTGCCAGCTCCCTGCTGGTCGAGGATGCGGGAGGAAGAGGCCTTGGACGAGGCTGCCGCTCCCCAGGCAAAGTCAAGGAGGGAGGGAGAGTGTCCGTGCGACTCGAAGAGCAGGAGGATCCTTCGGATGACTCTGTCCGCGTCCGCCAGCGTCGCGCGGTAGCTCTCGAGGTAGAGGAGGAGGTGGGAGGACGAGCAGCAGTCCGGCCCCCCGACCTCAAGGAGGGAGAGGAGGACGGAGAACAGGTGGCGGCGAGAGCGGCTGGTGGGGAGGGAGGAGGAGGAGAAGGAGGGCTGCTGTAGGATGAGAGCATGCAGACGAACAGCAGAGATAGCGAGGACGTTGCACCCTTGGGTCACAAGCTCTGGGCTACAGAGCACCTGAAGGAAGATCATTCGAGGAAATGGAGCAGGAGCAGGAGCAGAAGCAGAAGCACGCGGAGCAGCAGCAGCAGCAGAAGCAGGAGCAGGAGCAGGAGCAGGAGCAGGAGCAGGAGCAGGAGCAGGGGCAGGAGCAGGGGCAGGGGCAGGGGCAGGAGCAGGAGCAGGAGCAGGAGCAGGAGCAGGAGCAGGAGCAGGAGCAGGCGGAGGAGCAGGAGCAGGAGCAGGAGAAGGAGCAGGAGCAGAAGCAGGAGCAGGAGCAGGAGAAGGAGAAGGAGCAGCAGCAGACCTCGACGATGAGGTGGATCATCCTCATGCTGCTGGTTCTTGTCATTCTCTTCTCGATCACTGAGGACAGGAATGCCTCGATCTCCTTCCCCTTGCTGTTGAGCAGCTCCTGAGCCCTGCTGCTGCTCGCGAGAGCGGAGGGAGAGGAGGATGGAGGGGAGGAGGAGGAGAAGGACGTGGAGGACAGCAGTTTGACCAGCACCTCCTCCAGCATCTGCTCTGTTAGTTTGAGTTCCTGCACATTCCTTGGCTTTGACGAGTGCTCAGCGACTTTTCTCCTCTTTTTGCTCCCGCCCTCCTCCTCGTCCTCCTCGCCCTGTTTGTCCTCTTGCTCATACAGCTCCCGCAGCCTCTGCATGCAGAGGAGCAAGACGGAGACGGCGAGGCAGGTCTCTTCCTCGTCCAGCTTGTTGTCCGTGCAGTGAAGGAAGAGGAGGAGGTGAAGGGAGTCCAGCGACTTCTCGCCAGAGAGAAGAAGATCGACTTCTGCTGCCAGCTTCTGCGAGGTTAATCAGGACGAGGAGAAAAGAGGAGGAGAGGAGATGGGACGAGGATTCAAGAAGAGGAGAGGTGAGGAGAGGTGAGGAGAGGTGAGGTGAGGAGAGGAGAGGAGAGCAGACCTTATGCGAGAGTCGGATCACCACCTGCTCTGATCGATTCCTCAAGACTTGGAGAACAAGTTGGCAGCAAGACCAGCGGAGGTCGAAGGGGTTGCTCAAGTCCAGAAGCCCTTCCAGTAGTACCTCCCCCCAGCCCTCCCGCAGACTCGACAAGCTCTCGTAGTCCTGGAGGCACATGGCCTTGCAACCTTGAATGAGAGGAGGGAGCAACACAAGAAATTTCCCTCTCCCTCCTGCTGATCCTCCCGTCCTCTCCTGCTCCTCCTTGAGCAACTTCATCATCTCCTCCCTCATCCTCCCTCCGCAACGAGCAAGCTGGCTGTAGACTTCCATGCTGCCGCTGCCGCTGTTCTTGAGAATCTCCTTCATCTTGCCTTTCTTGCAGAAGAACAAGAGGGACAGATCGTCTTCGTTGGGATGCGAGAGAAGTGAAGAAGAAAAATCTCCTTCCTCCTCCTCCTCCTCCTCCTCCTCCTCCTCCTCTACGTCCTCCACTCCCTGCCCAACTTTCGCTCCCTCCTTCAGCGGTCGGTGGCCTTGTAAGTCAAACGTCGACCTGGTAGACTGTGAGACGAAAGAAAGGCCGAAAGCATGACAGCGAGGGAGGAGAAGGGGGGAGGGAGAAAGGAGGGGTGCGAGAAGGGAGAGAGAAGGGGTGGGAAGGAGGTAGAGCTTTGAAAGGAGAAACAACACAATCAAAACAGGAGATTGAGATAACAAAGGGAAGAAAGGGATGGAACAAGAGCGTCGTCAGACAGCTTGAACAAGATTACTAACACTCAGTCACGATCATCAGACCCTTCCTCTCCAAAACAACGACAACCATCAACTCACTTGATCAGCGAAGTAGCGAGACTTTGCCAGAGGGAGAAGAGAGGAGAAGAGGAGAAGTCTTCATCGCCAGCCGCAAACTTGATCAAGTTGAAGATGGTTCTGATGTTGGTGAGTGGAACGCCGTTGATGCTCAGCCGCTGAGTCAGGAGATGGCAGATCAAATACAGCATCTCAGTCTGCTCCTGCACAAGGTGTGAGATCATTACAACATTCCATCCTCCTCCTCCTCCTCCTCTCCTTATCATCATCATCATCATCATCATCATCATCATCATCATCATCATCATCATCATCATCATCATCATCATCATCATCAACGCTACCTCGCCATGCTGGCCTTTCATCCTCCCGCTCACAAACTTGTTCACGATGCGACGAGCATGAGCAAGTGGCAGACAAGACCACAACTGCTTGAGAGAGCTCAAAACCATATTGCCCGCATCACCTTTATCCTCCTCCTCTTCCTCCTCTTCCTCCTGCTTCTTCCTCCTCTTCTTCTTCTCCTCACCACCCTGTTGATGTTCGATGTGCAAGCAAGCAGCATCGCAAACACACTGCATGTAAGGAGCAGCAGCAGAGGAGACTGCGGCAGACGCGCCGCTGCCTGCCGGCCATCGGACGGAGCACGAGAGCACCAAGATCGAGTTGACTGCATGCATCAACTGCTGCATGTTCCCCTCCTCTCGCTCCCTCCTCCTCCTCTCCCTCACCCTCCCGTACACCTCCTGCAACACCCTCGTTGACAAGATCCGCTCGCACATGCTACCCAGCATGTCATACTTGCTCCTGACCTCGGAGACGGCCGACTTCAGTCCTCCCTCCTTCCTCCTCCTCGCCTTAACCGCCGGCGCCGTCGCCTCCTCCCTCAGACTCTCCAGCACCCTCCTCATCATCGTCTCAGCAAGAGAAAGGTAGAACACGGTCATCTCGACAAGCTCCCTGCCGCCCTCCGCAGGAGGAGGAAGCGAAGGAGCAAGAGATCGCAGGACCCCAACCAGGTTGAGGAGGACGTGGCTGAAGAACCTTGCGATCGTCTCCTCGTCTGCTCCTTTGATGCAGCTCTCCAGCCTCCCCCACACCAAGGTGTCGTTGATCACCCGAGGTCCAGCCAGGTGGCACTGAGAGAGGAGGGAGTCGAAGGAGAGGAGCTCCAGGAGGCGGCGGCTGCGGAGGAGGCGGTTCAGGTCCTCAGCGGGCACGAGCATGTCAATGACGACAGCGCTCGGGCAGTCGGAAAGGAGAGGAGGAAGCGAGGACCTTGCCTGCCCCACCTCCCCCCTGAGAGCATCCTCCACCAGCTGCTTCATCCTCATCACGGCCTCCTTGTCTTCTCCTCCTCCTGCCTTTCCCCCTGCCCATTGCAGAGCGCTCCTCCCAAGCACGATGGAGCAGTAGGAAGAGACCGACCTAAGAGTACCCGCCTCCAGCTGCTTCCCAGCAAACTTGACAAGGCGCGAGAAGATGAAGTCTGGACGAGGAGAGACGTGGAAGATGTCCACGAAGACGCGCGAAATGAACATCACCAGCTCTCCTCCTCCTGCTCCTCCTCCTCCTCCTGTTTCTTCACTTGCCAGCGTCATGAGGGCATGGAGGAGGAGGGGGCTCAGACTGCCCTCTAGGAACTTCTTGTCTCCTCCCAGTCGCAATCCTCCCTGTGAGAAGAAGAGCATCAGGGGAGAGCGGAGGATTTCAGAGACAAGTCTGAGCCGAGAGAGTAGGGAGAGAGGACGAGAGGAGAAGGGAGGAAACGAGCGAAGCAGAGCAGAGCAGAGGAAAGGGCAGGAGAGGAGAGGACAGGGCAGAGAGGAGAAGAGAGGAGAAGAGAAGAGAAGAGAAGAGAAGAGAGGAGAAGAGAGGAGAAGAGAGGACAGGAGAGGAGAAGATGACAGGAAAAGCGAGAGAGATGGGTAGAAAGCAAGCCTCACATCGCTTTCATGCTCAAAATTGTTCTCTTCCTCCATGGCGGTCGAACTTAATTGCTGCATCCTCTTCATTCCCTCCACGCAAAGTCTCTCCAGAAGATGCTCGCTGCTCGCTCCTTCATTTGCTCGTGACAGCCAGATCTTGGCCTCCTCTTTTCTCCCCCCCACCTGCTGCCGGTCAGCAATGATTGACAAGAGAACGCAAGAGGGAGGACAGAAAGGTGAAAGTGAGAAGGAGAAAGGACACGGGAATCCAGTGAGAACAAACAAGATGAGAGGGGGGGGGGGGGGATGAACGGGGAGGACGGAGCCTGAAGGAGGAGGGGGCGGTACCAGGCCGAAATCAAGGAGGAGCTTGACAGCAACAGCTTGCGCTTCGAGTCGAAGTGGAGGAGGAAGGCTCGCCATGCTTACGATCTTCATCAAGTTCCCGAAGTTGCTCCTCTCCCCCTTGTTGCTTGCCGCAAACCAGGAGCCGCCCGCGGAAGGAGCGTGGTTGAGACAGTGGAGGAGGTGGAGAAGAGAGGAGGAGGAAGACAGGAGGAACTTGTCACTGAGGAACTTAGACAGGTCGATTCTTGACTCAGCAATGCTCTCCGGGAAATGGATCAGGTACATATTGAGCACCTTTACGACAAGTGAGTTAGATGAAAGAAATGACGGTGCAGCCCAAGAGAACGGGCAAAGTTCTCCTTCCATCAAGAACGAATACAGCAGACAGAATAGACGCATTGTAACGTCAACGAGATTGAAGGAATGAGAGGGACAAGGGGGTACACCAGAACAAAATCAAACATCAAACAAATCATCACCAGCACCAGCACCAGCACCAGCACCAGCACCAGTACCAGCACCAGTACCAGCACCAGCACCAGCACCAGCACCAGCACCAGCACCAGCACCAGCACCAGCACCAGCACCAGCACCAGCACCAGCACCAGCACCAGCACCAGCACCAGCACCAGCACCAGCACCAGCACCAGCACCAGCACCAGCACCAGCATTCGTTTGACTACACTTGTCACTGACCTGTAGTATCCTCGGCATCAGGAGCTTGGCTCCTTGCGCATTCTTGTCGTCGGCAGAGATGGAGGAGGCGGCATGCTGTCTCACCGCCACGATTACCTGGAAGTCTGGGAGCTGCTTGCGAACTATTTGCTTCAGGTGATCCATGAAATCCTCAACCATGACCGCCACGTCGCCCGCTCCCATCCTCCTCCTTCCCCCCCTCCCTCCTCCTTCCAGATGTGAGAACCGACGGAACACGAACTCCAGACGCAGCAGGATGCTGGTGAGCAGATGGCACGTCGACAACCTGACCAGGTACGACGAGTGCTGCAGCCCGGGGCTGAGAAACGCCTTGCAAATCTGCCTGGGTGCGATCCAGTCCGCCACACTCATCGCGTTCGTCCATGCAGACATCTGGTGGGCGTCATGGCCGATGAGGAAGAGAGGGCAGAGCTCATCGTCGGGGATGTTGGAGAGAATCTTCAAGAGAGCAGCAGACATGGACAGAAACTTCAGCGACAAGACCGGCGACATGGTGAACGGGGAAGCTCGGAGGTAGTGCGGGTGGATGTGGGGATGCCTTGCCAAGACCTCACACACGAACCCGAGCTGAGAGCTGTCGTCCAGTACCTTGAGGCTGGTCAAGAAGGGGATCAGCAGCTTGACGTTCGACTGAGCAACAGTGTAGGAGCGACTTGAGAGCGTATCGCAGCACAGCTTCTTCAGCAAGATGCTGGCGTCCTTCCGCACCATCTCCTGCTCCTCGTCACCAGGCTTCTGAGAGAGCAAGCAAGCTAGCTGCTCCAGATTGTTGGCCGTGAAGATCTGAGCGACTGCAGAGAACCCCATGTCTCTGTTCGACAGCACCCTCTCGTCAACTGCACCCAGCAACTCCCGCACGACGGCTGGTTCGTCCCCTTCGACATGGGCAAACATGGAAGTGAAGAGCCCGGAGGTGCCGATGATCGCCTGCATCAGCTCGACGTCTCCAACTTGCAGCATCTTGACGATCCAGGAGATCACGGCGCCTCTAGCTTCCCTCTTGTGCGGCTTTTCCGCCGCCTCCTGCCTTGAGCTGGTCTTGGACGTCTCCATCATCTTGAGCAGATGCTTCATCTGCGGGTTGGTTTTCTTCCAGCAGTCTCTGCACTGGATGATTCCGATACTGCATATTGACCTCAGCAGCCGCATGCACTCCGTAAACAGCTGGAACTTGTTTCCTGTCATCGCCTCCACCAACGCGAGGTGGTGCTTCCTTATAAGTTTCGTCGCGATGTTCCGCGCATATTGTGTGAGGAGAGACATCTTGTGGCATGAGATCATAGCAGAAAGCAAGCGCAAGACGGTCAGCATCCTTTTCGTCTCCTTCATCTTCTCAGGAGCGAGCAGACGACAGATCTCTGCTGCCTCTGGTGATCCGTCGAAGTAGGCTTTCAACAAGGACGCTTGCTTCGAAGTTTCATCCCCAGAGGCTTCGAAAGCATGAGCAGCTTGCTTCACAACGTCTTCGAGTATCTTCAGCCTAGTGCTCAGCGTCCTCCCCTCCCCATTGAGACCTTTCAGGATGAACTCGAGCTGTTCCCCAACGTCGCCCTCGGGGAGCTGCAAGGGAACTTCTTCCTCTCCCTCCTCATCAGAATCTTCAAGCTCAGCATCCCTCTTCCTGTGCACTCGCTCTCTCATCTTCGACTGACGAGATCCTCCTTCCTCCTCTCCCTCATCCCTTCCCCCGCCCCTGCTTCTCTTCCGCCCTCCCGCACGTGCGTCCCCCGACACCATAGCGGCTCCTGCCGTTACACGTTTCTGCCTATTTGTAACGAGCCGGAACTTGAACTTAACTGAGCCGCGGCCCGCCGGGCGCTGTGACTCCCGGTCCGAGCCTCCCGCGCGGCAGGGCCGCCGCGGGCCGGGCTGGGCGCCGGGCACTGCGGCACAGTCTGAGCCGCCCGGCGGCGTACGGGGCCCGGGGCAGCCGGCCTGCATGAGCTCGTAGGCAAGTTTTAGGGCCGTTTCCCGCCGGCTCCCAGATTCCAGATTTTTGACTTTATTCAAAATGATTTGAAATTTACCCCGAAATATTCACCGGTGCTTTCAATACATACTGACAGGGGGTGGGGTCCACTGCCTGTTCATATTTCATGCTCCCAGCGTACCCTGCCTACCTTCTAACAATTTTTCTCGATTGAGCTAATAGTATATTTCCATATAGTGCCTGCCCATTCGAAAAGCAAAATCTGGGAAAGTCAACCGCATCGTTTCATTCTCAAATTAAAATGACTTATAGTTGAGTTCTCCAAAACATTTGGAGGAGAAAAAAAGAAATTGACTTATATTTGTATGAAAAAATCTGGAATCTGGAATCTGGGAGCCGGCGGGAAACGGGCCTTACTCTCTGTTACCGTAGCGGCTCACCGTTCGTCAAAGTCAAATTTGATTTAAAAATCAGTACGAGGACAATCAGGAGAGTAAATTTATTTCAGTATTTACAAAGTCATCATCTCGATTCAGCCGCGAGTTCAGAGGCAGTACCCAAATCTTTCAAGAGAGGCCTGAATATTCGAATTTCGGTGCGGCTGATTTTAGTTTACTATTTCAAGTTAGCAATCCGCGCCTTGAATTTTGAATTAGTTCCGAGGCATGTGCTGACAAAAAGGGGGCACAAAACATATCGGTTCGGTCTCGGCCACCGGTTGAGATCGGTACCCTGGGTGCCGGGCGCAGCGGCATGACGTACCGTGGGCGTACCGTGCCTACTAGGCTACCCGGATGCCGCAGTACCGTACCGTTTACGGTGTCAGGGGGCACTGCTCAGATGCCCCCGATGCCAGGCCCGGTGCCCGGCCGTCAAACCGTTGAACGGTGGGACCGTCGGACGGCCGCAGTGCGGCAGTTCTAGCATTTTTTGTACTTCATCCCGGACCGCCGGTGACCAGTTCACTGCAGGCACGGCGGGGTGGGCCGTGGGTGGGTGGGGTGGGGGAGAAGAGCTAGTGGGGGCGGTGGGGGTCAGTGAGCTGCGGCAGGGTGGGGGTGCCGCAGTGCCCCGGGTCACCTGGGGTTCATTGGGTCACACCGACGGTGAATAAAAACTACTGCGACTGTTCCCTAGGACCTTTTCAGCTCTAGTGCCCTATGCTATCGGGAGTACCGAAGATGGTGCCTCCTATGGCCTGAGGGGGTACCCCAGTGGTACTCGGTACTGCCAGTGACAGTACTGTACCGTACCAGACTCGAGGACCCCTCCTTACCTGCGCCATTCGGACCCTCCCGTCTCAGGCCTACCCCTGGCCTCGAGATCTCGACGGGCATCTTCCGATGGTAGGGCCGTCTCCCTTAGGGCCTGGTCTGAAGTATGAGCCTACCACCCCACCCCCCTTTCAAGTAAAGTATATCCACCTGCCAAGTTGAACCCCCTTCACTGCCTTGCCCCACCCCACCTTGGTGACTCCGGGATGCCAATAAACCCAATCATACTAGCCACCATAGTACCCCTGGTCTCATCCTTGGAAATGCTGAGGATAGTAGGGGTGTGACCCGTCTCTACGGGTCAATGTAGAGCTGCGATGACCCCACCCTCTACCGGGGGCCTGGCTGTGCGTACCACCAAGTCTTAGGGAGTATCCTACTCATGTACCACCACTATGAAATCACTACCCTTGATTTCTCACATTGCAGCACCGGTGTTGGGAGGTGCTCGGTACCCTAGATCAGAGGTGGACCCCCCCTAGAATCTTGAAAGGTCCCCATCTACCCTACCCCTATCCCGCGGAACTTAGGTTCTGTATCCCGTGCTACCGCGCACTTTCCCTACGCTAGCTATCATCCTAACACTACACTGGTACTACCCCACCCTGATATCTCCTGCAAATGACCCCCCAAAAGATAGCCTCGGAGAAACCCCCTCACAAACCAACCACCCCACCACAGAACCTCACTTTCCTACACTCGAAGTCCCACCCTCAGGGGTGGGGATGACCCTCACACGGTCATGTTGTCTTACTTGTCGGCAGAGCACATGATGCCTGGCATGGTCTTGCGATGCTGCCGCTGTCTGAGCCTTCTCATCTGATTCTGCTGTGTGCCTTTCCTCTCTTTGATCGCTGCATGACGTTGATGAGCGCGATCTTGTCACCGTGCCGTCCTATCGTTGTGTTGGGAATGGCATGGGCAACATGTGCAACGTGAGTGTTGACTTCAGGGCGGCAGCTAGTTGTTTTTCTGGGTGATTTGTCGATGAGAACGTGACCAAGTTAGTTTCCTCATCCCTGCTCTTTCAAGTTTAGTTGTGGAGGTAATCTCAGTGTTGAGTGAGAAGAGCTCAGAGAGATGCGAGCTCTTGGCGTTGTAAAGTGCTTGTTGTCTCCATCGTCAGTTGAACTTTGAAGCATTAGAGTTTCGTTGGACTTCGAATCAATCTGAAAGTTACTTTGCAGCTGAAATGGTTTCTGCATTGGATCAAAACGGCCCGCAGTACTTGCAAAACCCAATCGTTATCGCAGCAGATTGGATTGGGTTCATTGCCTTATTTGGTATCGATGACATGACTTGATCTTGTTATGAAAGCTGAGTTTACGTGTAGGATCTTCTCTTGCTGTAGCATACAAACTTGTTACTTTCAAAGGACCAGACCAAGATGATGTCTACTTCTTTGGGTTTGGAAACGAATCCTTGCTTCTTCCGTTGTTGATCCCTCATCAGATACCGTGAGGAAAAGATGATCTCGGTGTTCGTGAATCTCTTTGCAGCTTTAGCATACGTAAGTATTTAACTTGATTCCTTGCTCTGCCTCTGATTGTCATTGCTCAGTGGGCAAAATTAGCGTCACATGCCAATGGAGATGTCGGGCCCGCAGCGTCAGTGACAACCTACAAGTATCTGGACTACTTGTTCACCTGCCCGCTCCTCACCATCGATCTCTTGTGGTGCCTCAATCTCCCCTACAAGTTCACCTTTGGCGCCATCGTGGCTGTGTGCATCTTGTGCGCCTTCATGGCCTCGGTCATTCCTCCGCCGGCCCGTTACATGTGGTTCGGCATGGGCATCACCGTCTTCTCTGCAGCATGGTTCAACATCTTGAAGCTCGTGCGCATGCGCCTCGAGCAGTTTGTGAGCAAAGAGGCGAAGAAGGTCCGTCAGTCCCTCAAGGTTGCCTGCATGACTTACTTCTTCATCTGGCTCGGATACCCTACCCTGTGGGTGCTCGGCGACGCTGGCGTGCTCGACTCAGTGGTTTCAGCTTTGTTGCACACGTTCTTAGACGTTTTCTCCAAGTCAATTTACGGCTTTGCCCTGCTGCACTTTGTGATGAGAACCGACAAGAGAGAGTTCATCTTCGTGCCTCTGAAGCCTTCGGTTGAGAAGATCGTGGTCGAAGACGACGAATCAACGAGCTCGCGAGCCGAGTCGACGCGCGCGTCCAAGTCCAAGATCATGATCGGCTCGAGGGTCAAGAAGTTGCGGAGCTCAGCGACTGATGAGCTACGACCGAGCGCGACAAACATGAACCCCTGGCTGAACGGGTTGCCGAATGGATTGTCGATGGGAGGAAGCATGGGAAGCATGGGAGGAATGCCCGGCATGCCCGGAGGAATGGGTGATCACGGACTTGAAGACGTAGAGATGCACAATCAGTCGGCACAGCAGCAGTATCTGGCAACCCAGGAGGAGATCAATCAAGTGAATAAGCAGCTCCAAGACCTCTTGATGCGTACTGGAGGAGCGGGTCGCTCGATTTGAAAGCAAGGATGCTTGTAAGATATATCACCTCGAGGAACCGCATTGGGTTGTGGCCTGAGCTCCACGTTTTGACGATTTGACTTTGATGGAACCCAGTGTCAGAGAGGGAGAAATGCTCCAATCTGCTCCAAGTTGCCGACAGATGTTTCAAGTTTTGTGTTATTTACCATGTGAAGGATTAAATTATATACTCTGTTGCTGCCTGTCATAATTGTGTTCAAACATAGAGGTATAGACGAAGTGTCAGTGGTGCGGGGTTTGAAATGGTGCAGATCCACCAATTTTGTTCAAAACCGTATCAAGTCTCGTGATGTCAATGCTGCTATGAATATTCTATTGTGCTACATGTCTCTACCAGCACGACCAGATTTTCTGAAACGGCCTTGAATCACACATGGGTCTGGTTATACTTCAACCTGTTCTTCATAGAAAGAAAGGATGAAGTACGAGTCAGACACAAGGAAATATTGGCGTGTGGGTCTTCCATGATCCATAATTTTGTGTCGTTTAGCTGATAGAGGTATAGACTATGAAACTTGTGACTATGAAAGCTACTGTCAGTCTTTTACTCAAAGTTAAGTTAAAAATCAGTACGAGGACTCAGCCTCACAGGCGAAAAGACAGCAACAACCAATCCCTATATGGCCGACTGCTGTCCCCCAAACTACATGTAGGGGTGTAGTTTTAAACGGTAACATTAATATATATTTAAAGTATGATGCTACCACAACTTGAGAGAGACACCGGTTAACAGCAAATATAATGGTTATTTTCAATAGAAATTTATAAGCATATAGTCTATATATAATCCTAGGTACTGAAATAAGGAGTTATAATGACCAACTCGTACAGTTATTTCTCCATGCGGGGGAGAAGCGCGACAGGATGGCGGGGGGTGTGGGGCAGGGTGAGGAAGGAGACGAGAGGGAGGGCAGGGACAGGAAGACAATGAGCGATAGTTGAAGGGACGTTGCTGTGGAAAGATTGGAATCCCACGATGGCAGTTTCATCATGGAGGACGAGAGGACGGAGGAGTAAGTGAGTGATTAACAAGCAGAGGAAGGAATGGCGTGTAGGGAGATTGAGGGGCTGAAGAAGGAAGGACGAGGATGAAAAAGTTAGACACCAACAAACATGCATTGCACATAGCTGTGAACCATGACGAAGACTAGCCCAAGGGCGATAGGTCGAGGCCTTGTTGAAGCAGTAGGGGGCTGGCCTTGGTGGAAAGGGAAGGAGTGAAGGAGGAAGGGGGGGAGGAGGGGAAGGGAGGGAGGGATACATGAGAAAGGGAGGGATACGTTAGCTTGTGATAGAAGACAGAAGAATGTGTGAAATAGCTAATTAGACATGTCGGAGCTGACTCCAGCCGTGCATTGGTCTCGCGAGCCCCTCTACTTGCGCTCTCGTTGACGCCTTCTGACGTGCATGCGGTTGTTCAGGACTCGATCTGGTTTCGCACCATTGAGACATGGGGAAGAGGAAGATCAAAGTAGAGAAGATCAAGGACGATCGCACGCGCCTTGCCACGTTCCAGAAGCGAAAGATGGGGCTGATCAAGAAAGCCATGGAGCTCTCCGTGCTGTGCGAGGTGGAGGTTGCTCTAGTGATCTTCGGTGCCCCCACCCAGACGTGCAAGCAAGGGAAGCTCTGCCAGTACTCGTCCAAGGACATTGACCTCCTTCTCACTAAGTTTGTTGACCTGCGCCCTGCGGAAGTGAGTCTCCCATCCTCCGCCCTGCTGTCTTCATCTACCCGAAGTCACCTAACATCTACTGGCGCTCTGTTCTCCCCTTCTTCCTCTCCTCTCCCCTCCTGTCCTGTGATCTACCATCCCCTCTCCTTCATCTGCGCCATCTCTGCTGCTTTCTTCACCTTCTGCGCAGCTGAATGTCAGGCAGGTTTACACTAACGACGACTATGAAAAGAAGTTCAAGGACGACGCTGGGGATGGAGAGGAGGACGAGGCAGCAGTAAACCCGGGGAACGGAAACTCTGCGACACCCGAGCAGCTCCAGGAGGCTCTGCAGCAGCTACAGCGGACTAGCATGCCCTTCGTGCCGCAGCTGGGCGGTCCCATGCCAGGCTATCATCATCATCCCATGCCGGATCAGCTCATGCCCTCCCCGGCTCCTCCCAGCATGCAAAATCACCCTGCTCATCCTCCTCCTGGTATGCAGCCTGTTCCCCAGCAGCAACAAGCGCACCCCTCGATGCACGGAGGACAGCCATCTGAGCAGCAGCAGCAGCAGCAGCAGCAGCAGCAACAGCAGCAGCAACAGCAGCAGCAGCAGCAACAGCAGCAACAGCAGCAGCAACAGCAGCAGGAGCAAGGAGACGGAGACGTGCAGCCCAAGGGGAAGAGAAAGAAAGGGCTTGCTCCCCTCGTTGTCATGAATCCCAACTCGCAGCCGGCGCTCCCATCAGCAGGAGGGAGGGACCGAAGTCTCTTGTCTGCTGGTCCGAGACCGTTGGACTCAGCGGGCAGAGAGTCGAGCTTGTTCCTCGGCGATGATGACCCGGGGCTTCAACTGCACAGTGCTGGTCCTCTGTGAGTGCCCTTCTCTTTCCTCCTCCTTCCTCCTGCCTCCCCCTCCTTCGTCGTTCCTCCTGCCTCCTCCTACCTCCTACCTCCTGTCTCCTGCCCCCTTCCTTACGCTTCACCTTGTCCTAGTGTTGACGGTTCGGCAGGTTCTCCTCTCACACTTTCTCTGGCGTGATGCCCTCGCCCTCTCTGCTCTCAGGCCCCATGTCAGCGTTCGGGGCAGGCGCTCCCTTCGGCTCACAGAACTCAGCCAACACGTTACAAGTGAGACAGAAGAAAGAGATGTTGAGGAGAGGAGAGTAGAGTAGAGTAGAGTAGAGTAGAGTAGAGGAGAGGAGAGGGAGTGGTTTGGGAGGTGGAGGGTGAGGAAGACAGGAAGCGAAGAAAGGATTGCTTGGGAAAAGATAGTAGGGAGCGAGGAGATGGGAAAAGGAAAGAAATGGGTATGGGTGCCGAAGTCGGAGTGAAGAGGGAGAGGCGGCAGAGTAAGGGCAGGAAGGTGGAACAAGGAGGACAAATGAAATGACAGGGAAGGAAGGCGAGCGTCCGGGAGTTTGCATGAGAGGAGGGGGGGGTGACCGGGCTGGTGCAGGGATCAGGCTTCTTCAGTATGGACCGGCAGCTCTCGGGAGGGTTTGAGATCAACGGTAGGCAAAGCGAAGAGAGCAGGGGAAAGAAGCTGACGGCCTTGCACAGAGATGAACTTAAAGACTCCGACCGGGTCGTCGGCCATGGGGCAATCAGGTCCCCTCAGCATGCCCAACGACAAGATGAACTAGTGAAGAGAAGGGCTGGGACGAGGCAGCGGGGGAAGGGCAAGGGAAGGGGGAAGGGAGAGGAAGCCTCGGTGTTTGTTTTTAAGAAAGGAATTCTTTCATCGTGAGAGATGGGCAGTGCGAGGGTTGAAATGATGTTGGTTCACCAAATGTTTCATAACTCGCATTGTACCTCGTGACATTAGAGCTGCACTGAACAGAGACAGAAACTTTCATGTGTGGCCATGGTCACTCACTAGTAAGTTTTCTGCACAACCAATATTCGACATATCGAAGATTTGAATGGTTCAAATCATATTTCAAGGTCTTGATCTTCCTTGACGTTTCAAGGTTAAGAAAGGAAGACAAGAAAGCTTCTCATGCTGCCTCGAGGTCCTGAGGGAAGAACATGTCCGTGTCTTCAGTCTGATCGCACCCCGTCACTCGTTGAGGCAGACGTTGCAAAGAATGTTTGCCGAAGTCACCATGATTGTCATTAGAATATCACCACCATCACAAGTACATCTTCATCCTTCTCGTCATCATTACATCAGCATGATCATTACATGTCATCAACACCACCACCGTCATTGACAATGTTATCGTCCTTTCTATAGTTGTTCGTTTCGCTTACCTCAATGCAGAAGAGATTGTAAAAGAAACCTGGATTATAGTCAAATGTTTGCTCATGCAAATGACAATCGCCCCTCCCCCGCTATCACCCCTTCCCATCTTTTTCTCCACCACTTCCACTCTCGCCTCTTCCTCCTCTTTACTGTACACCATTCCTCCTCCTCCTCCTCCTCCTCTCCCCTCTTCCCTCTCCCTCTTCCCTCTCCCTCTCCCTCTCCCTCTCCCTTACAAATGCGGCACTTCCGACGTAGTAGTTGACCATTCTCAAGATGAAGCTCAAGACGGAATGCCATCTAGTACCAGATCCCTTGAAGATGTTCGCCAGCACCTGCTCCTCCTCCTCAGTCTCCTCGTTTGCTCCCTCCCTCCTCTGACCCTCTGTTCCAAGACGCCCTCCATAAACTGGCCGCGGAAGTTGCTGAAAATGGCCACATAGAGGCCGACGAATCCAGCGACTTTGAGGACGACAGACAAGGGAGTGTAGCCTGCAAGAGTTTCAGACGTGGACCGAAAGAGGAGGAGAAGGAGGAGGAGGAGGAGAAGGAGGAGGAGGAGGAGAAAGGTGGGGATTGGGGTGACCCAGGGAGGCGGTGGCATGAGGAGAAGCATGAAGGCAGGGAAGGAAGTGGCAGCCGAGAAGGAGGAGGGGGAAGGAGAATACGATGATAATAAAGATGATGAAAGGATGATGGGAGGAGGAGGAGGAGGAGGAGGAGGATACAGAGAAGGTCAAGTAGCAGAGACAAGAGGAGGAGGCAACTGTCACCGCTCTCATCTTCGGAGGCGTCAGGTTGAAGGAGGAAGAGGGAGGGTGAGGGTTTCATCATGCTGGGGCTTTGAATGACTAACGTCGGACTCCTTGCAAATCGCCTCGCGTCGTGACGCTGCTCGCAGTTAGGAATGCCGACAGTCCCTCCTTCTCCTTCCTCCTCCTCCCCTAACCCCCACCCCTCCCTCTTCTTTCTACTCCCCCTCCTGTGCTCCTTCCATTTGCTGTTCCTCACGTATCCAGTCTCTATTCTCCATGTCCTTCTGTTCATGCCTCTTGCCAGTCTTCTATCCCCCCCCC